AACGGAGGTGCCGTGTGTTGGAAGAGTTCCAAACAAGGCACGACGGCTGATTCCACCACCGAGGCTGAATATATTGCAGCATCAGATGCTTCAAAGGAAGGGTCATGGATTAGGAAATTCATCCAAGAGTTGGGTGTATTTCCGAACGCTAGCGATCCAGTACGGCTGTACTGCGATAACAACGGAGCCGTAGCGCAAGCTAAGGAACCAAGAGCTCATCAGAAGTCGAAGCACGTGTTGAGAAAATACCATGTGATCCGAGAGATCATAGAGAGAGGTGAAGTCAAGCTGGACAGAGTCACCTCGGAGGACAATATTGCAGATCCCTTCACCAAGCCATTGTCAGGATCAGTCCACGAGAAACATCGAGAGTCGATGGGACTTAGATTTATGAGTAGTTGGCTTTAGGTCAAGTGGGAGATTGTTAAAGTAGGTGACCGGCAAGCCAACTTGTGGCTGTGGTCTTTCTCTTTTCTTTGTAATAAAACAATCGTTTTTCGTTCGTAATAATAAAATATCTTATTTGGCATTCTATATCTGTTATCCCATGCAAGCAGCATAGATATAGTCCTAACGAGTTACTCTATTACTGTGAGTTGATCTAGTAGAATCGTGAGATAACTCAGCAATGTAATGTAACTGTTAAACCTTGTTCCTAGTCGATGGGTTACGCCAATAATGAGGATACCGGCCTTTCCCTTTTGAGACTAGCACTTAGTGTATGTGTACTGCGTCTCATCAGTCATCGGTGTTGTGACATCGGCATACTTGAGTGGGTGCTCATATTAGATGAGTTCACTGAACTCCCTCGCCCTAGAAATCTATAAGTGGTTCTCATTCATCGAGTAATAGGTTTCTAAGATATAGTTGTACACCATTAGTCCTTAAGACCCAGACATCACCGTGACTTCACTAGAGGACCGATTGTATCGTGACCTGTCCCTGAGTCCCACCGCGGACCGCTCCAAGGGCCAACGTTCGTGCAATCCGAAATCTAGTGTGAAGTCTGTGCATTGTAGTAGGGGATTCGAGCGCTTGAGTAGTCATGGATGTCCTGTGTGTTCTGACGGTTTATAATCCATGGAATCTCTGGCCAGAGTTGATAGTGGGGTGATTAGGGAAATGTGTTTCCCTAAGTCGCACACGAACGGATTTATAATACCTAGAACGTGCGCACGGTTATTGAACTTTATAAGAGGTCTCGGTGAACCAATGCCTCTAGCTCAATCGGGACATGTGCTACGAAGGGATCGTACTGTACGCTAACTATATCATAAGGTTCTTGCAGGCACTTCATTTGTATCTAGGGAATCATGATGCGTAGTTGCTAGACGCCAATCTTGATTCGTTGGGCACCGATTTGATCGGGATTAGGTAAAATGAGTTTTACTCTAATCGGGACTCTTGGGAGGAGTTCGTATAAGAACAATGTGTTGTTCGAATCACAAAGAGTTGTGAGCCCACGGCTAGCATACACCTGAACCATTGAGGGTCACACTTCTCGTGTAATATAGATCCTTGATAACAACAAGCATAGATTAATGTGTTAATCTTTGAACGATTGGATGTCGATATGATTGAATCCAAGATTCGCAATTGTGAATTGCGAATTGGAATAAACGTAGAGAAAGAGAGACATGCGGAATTTAGTGAACTTTCTAAATTGGGAAGCTTCCCGATTTAGCAAGTCCACTGAAGTGGAAGTTTCCAATTTTGGAAATTGGAAATTTCGAAGAGGCACTCGTATCGACGAGGACTTTGAGCTCGTCACAAATATAATTTTGTTATAATTTTGTGGACGATCGTTTGTTAGAAACGAGGCCGACAAGGGGATGGGCTTAATGCATCAGTGGGTCAAGCCCAATGACTTAAGCCCGCTAGGGTTGAAAACCCTAGGTATAAATAGACCTCAAAAGGAGTTTTGAGATCAGATTTTCAGCACAAAAACCCTAGCCGCTCAACACCTCTCGGCCGTTGCATCTCCGCCGCGCCACCGCCGACCACCGCCGGAAACGCCGCCGGTTTTCTCCTCTTTCTCCTTCGTTTTATTCGTGTTGTTATCTAACTCGTTTATATCTAGTGCTATAGTTCGAGTGGGTCGAAAATACGAGGTGAAACCTAATTGGAGAGGAGCTGCTGCCCCGACGAATCCGTGCACCACCGCACGCGCCGCACCGCCGCTCACGCGCCGCCGCTGCCGCTGCCACGCGCCGCCGCTGCTGCTGCCGTTCGTCGCCGTTCGTTGCCTGCTGGATCAGCTCGGTCCAGCCGTGAGGTGCAGCCCCGTGGATTGGTAATTAGCAGCTTGTACGTGACTCGTTCTAGGATTTCGATTCGTCGAAATCGCACGCTACAAAAGGTAAATGAAACGAAACTTTCGTAAATTAATTCGAGCATGTTTGTATGAATTATAATTTGCGATTATGAGTAATGTATGATTACGTGTTTCGATTTCATTGAATGATGAATAAGCATGTTTCGTGATTTTCGGTTTTATGTAATTTTAATTAAAATCGATAATTACCATATGTATGGCGGAAGCGTTAAGGTACGTTGACTATGTGATTAGTATTGCATGTAATCGAAACTAGTTCGATATAAAATTTTTAAATTCCGCTGCGTATACATGCACGATCCCCAACAGTCTATGGGTGACTACGGATTACTACGGTTTCCTATGGGTTTTTGTAGATTTCTACGATCGAAAAAATTAAAAAAAATCATAATTTTCAATTTATGTAGAAAATGAGAAAAAAATAGATTTTTATATAATGAAAAAATATGGGGGGAAAAAAAAGTTCCACGTAAAAAAAAATGCTAGATGCAAACTTAAAAATGTTAAATAATATCATAGTTCATCATACTATATTTACAATTTGGTGTAATTTCGAATTTGTGAGTGGAGGGGAATTCTTGGAATGAATTTAATAGAGGATGCGAAGCAAATTTTAGTTACACTTGTCATTTAGTTCTAATAAGGTTTGTACCAGAGACTTATATCTTAAGACCCCTAAACTCAATTCCTAATCGTAACCCCAATTTAACTTCATTTTCATCAATTTTGACCACAAAAATCCAATTTTAACTTTTTTTGTTCTTTTTCTATCTTTCTTTTCGCTACCGGTTTCCGGTGAATTTTTTTATTTTTTTAATCTTTTTTTTTCTGTTTTATACGCCGCCGGTTTCTAGAGTTGACCGGTAGTCAGCGCCGTCTTCGGCGTTGACTTTCTTTTTCTCTAAATTTTTTATCCATTTTTCGTACGCCCGCCGCTGAACATTTACCGTAATTGTACTGTCATTGACAGTAATTGTACTGTCGTTGACAGTAGAATTACGTAATTGCATTGTCGTTGACATAGAGTTACGTAATTGTACTCTAGCTGACAATACAATTACTGTAAACACAATAATATTACTGTCAATCACATCAATATTATTATTTTTCTAGTTTTCTTTTTTTTATTTTGTTTGATGTGTTGACCAGTCAACGTAATAATATTATTGTCGTTGACGGTAAAATTACATTAAACAAAGTAATATTAGTGTCAACCACATCAATATTATTTATTTATTTTGCCTTTTTACTTTGTTTGATTTGTTGGCCGATTAACTAATAATATTAATGTCTACTATTGTAATATTACTGCAAACATAATAATATTATTGTGGTTGATGGTAATATTAATGCCGTTACAGTAATATTATTGTGGTTGATAATAATATTACTGTAAACCACATCAATATTAATTATTTTGGCTCTTTACTATGTTTGCCTTTGTTGAACGGTCAACATATTAATATTACTCTATTACACAATATATAGTGATTTTTGTTGTGTTAATATTACTGTGCTAGAGAGTAATATAACAATATTACAGCGGCAGCAAAAATAAGAAAAAAAAAAAGGAGAAATCGATCGTCAGTCAACGCCTGAAACCGGCGAAAAAACAGATAGATAAAGAAAATCAACGATGGCGACATGCGAAATTGTAGTCAAAATTGGGTCATGGGTCAAAATTGACTAACTTGTGAAATTTGGGGTCAAATTGATATTTAATTGGATAAAATTATGAAATTAGAGCATATTAAAATGTGATGCCAGATTTTAGTATTTTACATACCTCTAGACTAGGGGTGGTAAACGAGCCGAGCCGGCTCGTGAGCTCGACGAACCGGCTCGTAAAAAGCTCGAACTCGGACTCGAGGTTTTCGAGCTCGAGCTCGAGCTCGCGAGCTCGAGCTTTCTGATGAGCCGAGCTCGAGCCCGATTTTAGTTGTTCATCAGCTCGCGAGCCGGCTCGCGAGCCGGATTTATTAATATTTTTTTATTTTTTTTTATTTTTTTTATGTTATTTTTATTTAAAAATGTATAATAATATAAAATATTATAGAAATAAATACAAATATTAAAAAAATATATAATCGCAATTTTTTGTTTATTTTGTAATTTTTTAAAATATTTTTTAATAATAAAATAATAATAAAATAATATTTAAAAAAAGAAAAAAAAAAAAAAAGGGATTGGGCTCGAGCTCGAGCTCGACAAAATTAACACGAGCTCGAGCTCGAGCCAGAAAAAGAAGAACTCGACGAGCTCGAGCTCGAGCTCGAGCTCGACAAAATAAACTCGAGCTCGAGCTCGAGCCAGCCAAAAGAGGCGAGCTCGGCTCGAGCTCGGCTCGTTCACACCCCTACTCTAGACATTGTTTAGATTTTTTTGTAATTTTTTTTTTTTATCTAGACCCCTTTATGAATAAGTAACTAATAATGGGCTAATTTGTCATGGACCCTACTAAAAAAATAAAAGAAAAAACCCTTTTATTAAAATTAAAAAAAAAGAAAAAAGAAAAAGAAAAAAAACAGCCGCAAGATTACTTGTTACATAATAAAACCCTAGGCCTAGCCGCCTAGGCCATATCACAATCACTTGTCCGCCCAAAGCTGTGTATATATTAAACCCTAAAAAAAACTAACAGATCGGGGGAAAAAAAAAAAAAGACATGGCAACCTCAAATATTCCGTCGGAGATCATCGAAATTATACTATCAAAATTATCATCAGTGAAATCTCTTCTTCGATTCAAAGCAGTTTCAAAGTCATGGAATACTATAATCTCCGATCCTTTATTCATTCAAAATCATCTCCAATCATCGAATAGCTCTCCGAATAATCTCTTCCTAAGTAGGAATACAAATAGTACTGATAGAGGGTTTCCTTTAATTAAATTTGAAGGTCCAAAAACCAAACCCGGAGAAATGTTCGTGGAGAATATTCCCAACGGTTACAGCGTAATACTATTCGAATGTAACGGCGTTCTACTCTTGACAAGCCTATCCGATCGGGATCGGCGCAACAACAGAAAATACGCGCTGTGGAATCCGTCAACTCGTTGGGAGAGGCATCTCGAAACCCGATATAAAGATCATGTAGTTGATCGTGGGATTTGTTACGACAAAATAACCGGTGATTTCAAGGTTGTATTTATTTACACGACGGAATACGCAATTTATTCATGTAAATACAATTATTGGAGGAAGAAGAAATTAGGAAAAAAATGCTACGGGGCCGGTGATACGGGTTCGGGTATCTGTATCGATGGAGATACGACGTATTGGATTCTGGAGGAGAGCGCGAAGATGCAATTAGTGTATTTCGATTCAAGAATCGACGAGATCAAGGTCTTGCAAAAGCCCGAACAACTAAGTGAAGATGACAAATATGTTTCAAGTTATAACATGGCTTGTTTGAGAGGAAGCCTATGTTTGTACTGCTACAACAAAGATGAGAAAAGTGTTCAAATGTGGATAAAGGAAAAGGGAATTCATACTTGGGAGAAGGTTATAACCATTGGGAATATCGAGAATCTGTATTTGTGGTCCACACAACTATGTTTCGTCGAAGTCGAAAACAAGGCTACAAACTATAGCCCTACTGAGAAGGCGGTTGAAAAGCTTGTAGGGATTGATATATATCGGGGTAGATACGTTCCATATCGGAATAGTCTCTACTTCCCAACTGGTGTCAAGACGAAGACAATTAAAGCTTAGAAGTCCAGGTTGATATTTACCTTCGATAAGTATTTAGCATTTATTCATTTAGGCATGATATTATATGTTTTTTGATACTTTTCAATAATATATTACTTTTGTCATGCACATGCCTGTTAATTATTTTTCGTCTTCTAGACGAGTACAAATTAAGCTCAATATAACTATCCGGAAGAACATCTCCAACGTAACTGAGGTAGGCGAAATAACTAAGCTTTGTAGGAATCGGTACGATTAATTCTTTCTTCCAAGTAGCATAATTCATTGCAATACGGTAATATGTGGAATAATTTCCAGGAACTGAAATAATGCGAAGCGGGCAAGTGGAAGACAGTTCGCCACCAGTGGGCTACGATTTCAAGGTTCGATTAATTAAGTGTCAGTTTTTAGTCTATTTTCAGTCTAAGTTGTCAAACTAAGTTGTCCGAAGATATTTTAGAAAATTCAAAATATTCGGTTGACTGTTAGCTATACAAAATATTTTTGAGGGATTTTTAGTCAATTTTTCCTTATATCTTTTACTGCATTAAATTTGTGTCTCTTTTTAATTATGTTTCTACGAACTAGTCCAACATTCTACGCAACACTAATGAAAAACTGAATTTTGGCACAAATATATAATATTTGCACGAACAAAACTAACAATAATAATAATGAACTATTAAATCATGGTATTCAACTATTACTTGTGGTGGTCAAGCTAATTATAGTCAACTGTTGAGATATAGTAATGCTGATATTTCGGCAAAGTTGCAATTTCATGAACCTACAAATATGTTGAACTCTAAACTCAACAGAAGTCCTTTGCTACTCTCTCGCAATTATTTCCACGGCCAAAAGGGCTGCTTTTGCCTCCGTCAATGTGGGATTTAAAGGTTGTTTAAGCACCGGGATATCCACCCAACACAAGCCCCAACTCGATCTGGGTCCAAGTCCACACATTCCATCCACGCGCTATTGATTGCCGCATCGAAATTTATCTTAACAACATTTTCCTCTGGGGCCAACCACTTCACATCATCCCTATCCCATTTTAATCGATTTTGTAATAAAGATATATTTGACAATATATCAGTGAAGTAGCATTTAAAAAAAAAATGGAACCACACCCACAAATATTTTCAACTACATATTTGTATATGAAAAATGTATAACTATTTTGTTTTCTACACGATAATTTTCCTATTTTTATTCATATTTTTTATTGTATTAAACTTCGAATACCCTTCACAAAAATCCTGAATTTGCCACGTGACACAAGCAAATGGTTTTGCAACTACTTGTAAGTTGTAACTCATGACATTTTTTTTTGTGTTTCTTGTGCTATGAATAGAGCACATTGTAATGAGTTCTTCCTAGATTTATGTTACATGTTTACCATTCGTTGACATGTACGTTTCGACACTGATGGAGTATTAATTATTTAGTTAAGTACTATTTGGTATTAAATTCAGGGATAATCACAGTTTGGGTCCCCCAAGTATGCATGTTTTTCACTTTTGGTTCCCCATTTACCGTCGTCAACAAAATACACACTAATGTTGTCACATTTTAACACATTGAGTCCCTCCGTCTGTTTGACCGTCAAGAATAGCGGTCAACGGTTGAATTAGGGTTGAATTTGGGGTTTTTCTTTGAGAAAATTGCAATAAGACCACTATATTCTTTCAAAATAATCTAAAAACCCCTAAAATTTTATCCAACCCCAATTTCATCTATGAACCAATTAATGACCCCGATTTTTCAAGATCGGTTAATACGACATTGACTTTCTTTTTAACTCGGTTGACTCTTTTTCCGGTTGATTTTTTTTGCCGCTGTTGCCCGATGTTGAATGTTGGTTAAACATCCTTGACTTTTTCTTTTCTTGATTGTTATTTTATTTTTATTTAATTTTGTTGAGTAGTGAAAAAATATAATTTAAAAAAAAAAGTGAAAGCTATACATGGCGAGAAAAATAACATCGTCAAAAAGTCAAAATAAAACACAAAAGAAAAAAGTCAACGCAACTCAATGACGGAAAAATTTGAAGAAAAAAAAGAGATAAAACTTAACGGCCGGTGTTAGCCCCAAAAACCATTGTACTAGAGTGGTTATGGCATTTTCAAATTACTCCGCCACATGCCTGATTCATCTTCTTCATATTTTTTTTGGGAATAAATTTGGGTGCACTAGCGGTTCCACGAAGAAATAACTGAGAGAAATAAGTTATGGATTTTTAAAAATTTAAAAATTGTATTTTGGCCGCAAAATTTTACATAAAAACTTTGTTAGAAGTTTGTAATTTTAGTATTACGATACTAGATATTAATATAGTATTATTATTTTGTGATACAATAATAATATTGCGTTGATCGGAAAAAAAAAATTCACAGGAAAACGTTTAAGAAAAAATTAAGAAAATAAAAAAGTCAACATTGTTAACCGAAAACCCAATGTCGGTGAACGACGTCAAAGACAATATTAAAAAAAAGTCAATGCCAAAAAAAAGTTAAAAAAAATCAATGGCGGTCAACAGTCAAAGGTAATGGTGGTAAAAATTAGGGTCGTTTGTCAAAATTGATTAAATGATGAAATTGAGGTTAAATTAGGGTTGAAATTTTTTTAGGGATTTTTAGAATATCTTAAAAGAATGCAGGGGTCTAAGTGCAATTTTCTTAATAAAAAACCCCAAATTCAGCCATAATTCAACAGTTGGCCGTTACTTCTTGATGGTCAAACAGACGGAGAGACTCTACGTGTCAAAATGTGACAACATTAGTGTGTATTTTGTTGACGGCGGTAAATAGGAGACCAAAAGTGATAAACGTGCAAACTTGGGGGACCAAAACTGTAATTATCCCATTAAATTCATCATTGGGTAAATATAAACTCAAGTATTAGTTATCTGAAATGCTAAATCCCGCATTAATTTTACCAAATCATACACATAACTAAAAATATTTCTCTCTTTAAAATCTTCTCTTCTCTTTCCCACCCTTCTTCTTTTTCCCCAACTTTTTTCACAAAATCACACACTAAAAACTTCCCTAGCATTCCAAGTTAAAATCTTCACATGTTCAAACTAAAATAAAGTTGGAATTTGAGGAAAAAATCAAATTGATATGAATTTGAATAATTAAATAGGCTTAATGAAATCGAATAAATATTAATTAAAACTGAACTCGTTTGCTATGATTATTCACGTAAAAAAATAAGGTCTATTGGTTATACACCCCTCATATGGAACATATATAGGGATAGGCCCATCCCTAAAATTCTTCCTTAGCTTTGAGATACCTCCGTGGATAGGCAAAAGTACAATTGTGCCCTTAAGTTCAATTTTCGCCCAACTGCATTCAATATTTTCGCCCATGCATTCAGCATAATGCCCAACTGCGTTTAGCATTTTGGTGCATGCATTTATCATTTTCATAGATTTTTTTAAATAAAAAGAATATAATTGTTTATTTTATTATTATTTTTCATACGTACCCGTTTTTTTGTATTTTCTTATATATTAATTTTTAATTTTTTTTTTTTTTAATTTTTTTTAATTTTTTAATTTTTAATTATTAATTTTTTTTTTCTAAATTTACTGTACTTAAATTGACTATATATGACTAAGCATACTATACCTAACTATAGTATACAACAGTCATGTATATATATATGACTAAGCATACTATACCTAACTATAGTATACAACTGTCATGTATAGTTATATCATATATGTAATCATGTAATGTTTTTTTACCCTAAAATTAATTTACACCAACAACAAAATTCAAAATCTCAATCTTGATAATCAAATAACCGAAAAAAAAACACAATCACGTGCATAAAATCTTCAAAACATGAACACACATTACTATAAATTAAAAAACGCATAGCATACATACAACTATATGTTACTACACGTGACTATATGTATCTACAATTATTTATAGTTACATGAATGCAACTTCACATGGCACTTCTTTGTGTCTTATTCTTTGCATCTCATAATGTTATACAAAGCAAAACCTCTGACAAAAACATACAAGTTAAAGAGCGAAATGGAACACGCGAGTTAGATTACATGAAAATTACAAAAAAAAACTTGATTTTTTTTTTGATACATTTACTGTACTGTAACCGACTACAAATTACTATAGTATACTACAAGTTCTATAGTCATGTATAGTTTTATGTATCCATGACTACATATATGACTGTATATGACTACATAACTGTATATTCACCTGACTCAAATCACCCATCTTAATAACAACTACTGATTAAGTTTCTACTACACAGACATCTACTACACAGACAAGCAGAGCTCTCACACTTGAGGCATTTCAATCATCTTCAAATAATCACATAAAATAAAAGACATATCATTTATAACAAAAATGAACAACATGAGAATCAAACAAAATAAAAAATCAAATTAATCCAAAGAAAAAGATTCTAATATTAATTATTCACAGATCTTAAAAAAACATAGTAGATCTGATATTTTTTTTTATATAAAAGAATAGTAGATCTGATTTGAGTCCTCCCTCAACCAAAGAAAGAGAAGAAACTAAAACAATAACGTAGAAACCATTTCATCAAACAGAAGTAGAAAGAGATTTAAAACGAATTTCAAATATACAAACCTTCAGCCATCATGTTTTTGGCATCATCGAGTCTACTCGATTTGGACGGGTGATTCAAGGCGGCGATTGGCGTCGAGCACGCGAAAAGGGGCGGCGGCGCAAGGCTGTGGGAGGAGTAGCGGCGGCGGCGCAAGGAGGTGGGGGAGCAGCGGCGGCGGCGCAGGGAGGTGAGGGGAGCGGCGGCGGCGGAGCAGGGAGGTGAGGGGAGCGGCGGCAGCGGCGCAAGGAGGTGGGGAGCAGCGGCGGCGGCGCAAAGAGGTGAGGGGGGCGGCGGTGGCGGCAGGCTGTGGGTAGAGAGAAAGTTAGAGAGAGAGGAAGAGAGAGCGAGAGAGAGAGAGAGAGAGAGAGAGAGAAGGGAGAAAGAGAGAGAGGGGT